AGGCACTGCGGAGTGGTGGGGGGCGGCCCAAGGGGCTGGGAGAGGGTCCGGCCCACGCTGCGCCTAGGCTGGGACTGGTCCCGCGGGCGCAGGGTAGCAGGAAGCTCTCCGCACACTCACCAGACCTGGGCTAGGACTGGTTCTGGGGGCTCCCGGAACTCGGCAGCTGTCATGTTATTTTTAAAAACCACTCCAGATAACACTTAGAATATTAGTATGCAACATAAGTATCTCTACCACTAACTTAACAAAAAAATCCATAAATTTCTAAAGTTTAACCCTTTAAATACACAAAAGTTTATTTATACATAATCCTATGCTCTCTGGGCAGCTGTTCATTTGGACTTCTTCCTTATTGATATACTCTGTTCAAAGCGAGGGTCACATTTCTTAAATAGGAACTGCAAATTCTGTGGTAAATATTGACATGCTAAGGCATGTCAATATTTATACAGTCAGGACTTTGATAAGTTTCAACAATAGCTGCACCTTATTTCTTATTTCTCTTCCAATCGATCAAGGTCCTTCTTTAATCCAATAAAATTTTCATTCACTACTTAGATAAGATTACAAGAAAGCTAACAGTATCTTCTTACACCAATACCAAGTTTAACTCTGCTATTTCAACATTTAGATCATTCTGTTGGAAAAGAAAACTTTGGACACCAATCAGGATAAGCTGTCCTGTGAATACTTGGCTTTGATTATTCAACTGAATCCCAAGTCTAATCATGTTCAGTCCTATTTATTAGTGCTGAGGCCTTCCACATTTCATAAAGTTAACCTACTTCTTATATTCTTAGTCATAAAGGCTGAGGGAAGATATAATTCACTGGTGAAGGTATGGGACTGTAATCATAAATACAGCACCTTGGACTGCACAAGAGGCTTTCCTCTGACAACTCCTTGCTTGCTTAAAGTTTATTCCTTGAAGGAAGAAAACCAAGTTTCCACCAACTAATTCAAATCACAGAAAGGGGGACTAAAATCTATCATCACACCTGGGCACACTTGTTATACACCATTTTCTACTATTCTGGTCCCAAAAATAAGAATGTTTATGGGACTGCGGAGTGGCTCTGGACTGGGCGCCTGCTTGAGCAGAGCAGGAACAGGGATTCCATCACCAGCACCGCATGCCACGCTGGCCCACCCCTGGGTGCGCTGAGTGGGCCGCAGAGATCATGCATGTGGTGCACATCTGTGACCCCAGCACTGGGAAGGCTGGGGAAAAGCGGGACCACTGAGAGTCTGGGCTGTGTGGTGAGACACTGTACCAAAATTTAAAAAAAAAAAAAAAAAAAAAAAAAGGATGTTTACAAAGCACGTTTTCTGTTGGTCAGACAGATTTTTTCTCAAGCTGTCATATGCACACTAGATCCATCAAGTACCCCTACCATGCAGTCCCAATTCTCCCCACCACCACCACCACCTGCAGAACAAGTTTCTGAAGAATGGTGGCTGGAAAGTAATCATACTAACGCCATTTTTCCCCCTTACTGTTTGTTCCTCTTTGGCATGTCAATAAACTTGCATACTTGTCTCCTTTCTAATCTTAATGGTGACTCTTTAGAGAACAGAGGAGAAATTTCTCTTTGCCCCTCACTGATCTGTAAGCAGCGGTGCTGAACCTATAGCAGGCATGCCACAGCAAGCTCTTCGTTATTATTGAAAGCTCTAGAAGGTGTGCCATCTCTAATTTAGAGGCTACAACAATAATGACCTATGCAGAAGACGGTATGAATTTAGAATGCCAATCACAAGAAGTGCTTGGGAAATCAAATTATCTAAGATTAATGAATGATGAAAATAAAATTAGTTTACCTAATTGTTGTGCCAAGTATCAGAAATCATGCTAACAAACTAGTGGTTATTAAATCAACCTTAATAGCATAAGTCCATATGACTGAAATAAAACTATTTCAGAGTGCTGAAAACACACCTTGAGATCTCCCAATGGTACACAAGTAGGTGTAGAAACAGCATCTCACAAAAACATGAATACCTTATGAGAAGGCTGAAATTCTAGCATGGATTTCTTTTTTTTTTTTTTTTTTTTTTATTTGGCAACAAATGTCTCAGCACTGTTATTTTT